GTAAATATTGCCGGTATTTGTAATGATCATTCTGTAAAGGAACAAATTCCTGGCTATTTTGATAATACTGAACTCCCTCTTATTTGTTATGTTTACCAAACTTCTACCCGAAAATATGTGTTTAATTACAGCGAATTGTGTAAAGATGTTAATATCAGTGACAATACACCTACGTCATGAAATTGCAGTAATTCCGAATACATTTATGGCCCCAGTTCCCATGTTATAACAGGAGACCTTAACATCGTTCGTGACCGAGAGTTGAAATCATTTCTCAGTAAAGGACCTAAATATCGTCCCCCGTCAATTATCAATTGGAATGAGTGTCGTAACATCATCCACGACTCGCTCCGTACTTACTGCTCTAAATGGATAAAACGAGAAAGAGCTGACAAGAAATCATTAGATTCTTTTTTAATTCGATAATGAACATAGTTGATATACGTATTCAACATTTTAAAGAAACTTTACTCCTAACAAGAACCATAATAGCCCAATTTCTCGTATCAAACATAAGCTAAAAGAACTCGCCAAGGAATTTGTTTTTGTCCCGGCTGATAAGGCTGCTAACAATGTCATTATTGTTTCACGTAAATTAAACATTGAGGTTCTAAAAAAGGAAATCACGAATTCATCAACATTCTAACTGACTCCATTTTCGTTAAATGACATCTGTAACAAACATAAACTTTTAGCTACCTCTTTACAAGCAGAACCAAATACAATGAAAATTCCAACTATGTACTGGCTTCCGAAGCTGCACAAAACTCCTTACAAATATAGATTTATTTCGTCTTCAAGCCATTGTTCCACTACTAAACTATCTATTCTACTTACTAGTACACTTGGTACAATCAAAAACCCGGTAATGAATTGTTCAAATAAGGCCTTTGAAAATAGTGGAGTGTCAAAAATTCGTTGGAAGTACTTGATAAATTGCATGCTTATATTGGTAATTTTGAATCTGTTCAAAGTTTTGATTTTTCTACGCTATATACCACTTTGGCTCATAATCTTATTAAGAAAAAATTCACACACCTGATTAAATGGGGATTTAAAAAGTCGGAATGCGAATATATATGTTCGAACTCTTTTAGGTCATTTTTTAGTAACAACAAACAAAAGAACTATGTCAATTGGAACTGCTTTGATACTTTAACTGCCCTTGAATTTTTACTAGATAACTTTGTTGTTCGCTATGGAGATTCCGTATATCGTCAGGTTATCGGAATTCCCATGGGAACTAACTGTGCACCACTTATGGCGGACCTGTTTCTGTATTGTTATGAGTTACAATTTATGACTAAAATCAGCAAAGACCCACCGAAACAACATCTGATTCAAAAATTTAATAACACGTTTAGATATTTAGATGATATATTGGCTTTCATTAATGACGACTTCAGTATGTACACTAAAGAGATTAATCCTGCCGAACTGACTTGAAATAAAGCTAATACTAACAATGAACACTGCCCTTTCCTGGATCTTGATATCTATATCTTTAACGGGAATCGTAATACCAAAATTTATGATAAAAATATAATTTTTCATTTCCTATTGTTAATTATCCATTTTTAGATGGTGACGTTCCCTTGTCACCATCTTATGGTGTTTATATATCTCAACTTGTTCGGTTCGCTCGTGTATGTCACAACGTATTTGATTTGAACGAAAGAAATCTCTGTATTACTGAAAAATTATTACACCAGGGTTTTCGATATCACAAACTAGTCAAAACATTTACTAAATTTTATCATTAGTACAAGGACATCATTCGTAAACATAAATCAACATGCAGACATCTAATACGTTCAGGTATTTCACATCCAATATTTTATGGTAATATTCTTTACAAAGCACAAAAATGTCGGCATTCACCTCAAAAGCTAACCAAACCTTTAAACAGACTTATTCGGAAGGGATATAGTTACGATACTGTTGTCAGGTCATTAAGGATTTGCATATTTTGGTATTAATAATGATTCACTCATAGGGTCATTTCATCGAAAATAAACACATTTATTCTAAAACCAGTTGTTGGCATGATACGGGCTATGTTCTTCTCATATATTTTATGATGGTAAGATACTAAACCCCTAACGGGAGGGATTGTACCTGATTTTCATATGATGAAGACATGTCAATAACTGCTAGTAGTCCTTTGTTAATTTATGTATCATTGTCATTTTGCTTAGTTTCTTTCGTTACCTATTCTGACATCGGACTCGGAATTCTTTTAAACTGATTTTTACTCTGCGTATTGCTATGTGTTTCTTTATTCTACATTGGCTAGAGGTATTAGGGGAGGGTTTAGCCCCGCCGCATTTTTGCGCCTGTCCAAATCAGGAGCCTCTGGCCTTTGTTAGTTCTGTATGTTTTTTTAATTTTAGTTCCTTTGTATGTTTTGGAGTTTAAATGTAGTGTGACGTCCATTTTCACTGAACCAGTTCAAAATTTTATTTAGGGGCCAGCTGAGGACCACCTCCGGGTGCGGGATTTTGTCACTGCGTTGAAGACCCATTGGTGGCCTTCGGCTGTTATCTGCTCTTTGGTCGGGTTGTTGTCTCTTTGACATATTCCCCATTTCCATTCTCAATTTTATTGTTACTTCTTGATATTACAAAACCACTGAAGAAAAATAAGTTTCCACATCTTGCACTGTTAATGAGTTTTGATGATAATTAGTTTTATAAACAAATGCACGCGTCTGACTGATACAAATAAGAACACGTGGGCAGTACTTTGTGGTTATTCAATAGAATCACTTGATAGTTTGATGACTACTGACCAGCTATAAAAATAAGTCATAGAAAAAAGGATGAATTAGGGGTTTATAGAAAAAAGAAGATAATGAAATCCAAATAAAAGTACATTTCTATATTGGAGCTGCCAGGAGAAAAAACAAAAAAAAAATAATTTAGAGCTATAGGGGGAATCAAACATAAATGTACAGATATTAAATAAATATAATCGTACAACATTTAATGTTGCTGATGTTAATGCTGATGGTTATATCAGATTTTCTTGATGATAATGTGTAAATATGAATTCTTTTTAAAGAAAACACAAATTAAATATATTTTTCACAAAAATAAGAAAATTCTACTTTGTGTAAAACACCATATTTTCATTGTATACAATTATAATTCTAGAAATCCCCCATAAGAATCCTCTAGAATGACCAACTGATGATTTTATGTAGACATGCATAACTTTGGGGGAAAGTGTTAAAAACAAAATATATTGTTTCATGTAGTAATTGCATAAAAAATCCATATTGAAAAAAGCAAATGCAATGTGTAATTAAACTTCTGAGATCATTAATGGTTGATGTTTATCCAGGTGGGCGGAGTTTTTACCATATCCGTAGCAACTGACTTACAGCAAGGTCAATAATGATATAACTTCTCCGGCCAGATCTGGATTTTTATGCATAGGGTGTGCATTTTCTTTATATATTTAGAATTGCTGAAATGGAATGCTTTCTTATTGGTCAAAACCTTGATTTATGATTAAAGGCCAATCCTGAAGTATCCCCATGGTACATGTGTGAATGATATTGGAAGTTAATGAGGTTCAAATAGGAAAATCTTTATTTACTCAGTTGTGACACATACATTTTTGTCTAACAAAGAAGCTTACTTCATTCAAATGTGGACATTCGAATCTAGTAACTAATGACATAATAAGCAATTATGTAATAATTTTGTAATAATGAAATTATGACCATTTGAAAGATTAATCTTTTGTCTTTCTTTTGGTTCCTCATTTATGAATTTTAAAGCTAGATGAAAGAAATTACATCAGTTTAAAGTTGTCTGATTTAGAGTGAAAAAATCTTTGTATTGTGCTACCTTAAGAAAGTTTTTTGCCGATTCTATGTGCTTTCTATACAAATCTCCACTAATTTTGAAAGAATTCAATCAATAGTCTTTCAGAAAAAGAAAGAGATACATGCATCATTTTCGATTTTCAGTTATAGTTCAATGAGCCTAAGTTTTATGCAAATTTTTACCAAAATCTGTGACATAGCCTCTTTACTTACTGTTCCTTGACCTTAATTTTCTTAACTTTATCCTATCGAAGTACCTGAGATCACCACTAGTTTTTGGTGGGGTCTGAATTGCGCAGTCTTTAGTTTTCTATGTTATGTTTTCCGAACTGTTGTCTGTCTTTTGGTCTTTTTCTCTTTTTTTTGCCATTGCGTTGTCGGTTTATTTTTGACTTATGAGTTTGGATGTCCCTTTGGTATTTTTCGCTTCTCTTTTATTAACAATTTGTATAGTATCGGAACGAATTAGAACTTGACACATTGTTAAGACTGTATGTAACAACTAACGCAATATAAAGCTTACGTAGTCCAATGCCAACATTCTGAAATACTTACTACAGATAGAAAACAACAGTAGTACATGTACCACGAACAATATTGGAAAATCAATCATATTTTCAAAATGCTACTTTATCTCCTGTACATGTAATAAAAAAAAGAAAAGTTTCCAATAAGTGCTACGAATTTGAATGTCATTATTTCATATGCTCTTAGATAATGTTATCTAAAAAATCACCAAAAAATCGGAAATTGGATCTAAAAAATGCACATATACAGAAAACCTGAAATTAAGATGTTTTTCAAATTTGAATTATAAGTTAGGTTTCTTTTTTTTGCACGAGCAACACGACGAATGTCACATGTTGAGCAGTAACTGCTTATCCATCAGACACACCTAGTTTTAATGGGGTTTGTGTTGCTCAATCGATAGTTATCTTGTATTGTCTATATTATTTGGACACAAAACTTTCGATTTCCCCTTCGTAATCTCTCTCTTTTAATATATATTTTTCTGTTGAAATGTGGTCTACAATTATAAAATGTCTTTATCTGATTCATGCCAGGTCATAGTAACTACGATTTAAGTCCATATAATTTGTCATGTCAGTAGGTAGACCAAAAATATTGATGTCAATATTCATTTTTGCATATTATGTCATTTCAGAAATAATGTTAAAAAGTGAAATGCTATCTACAAAACATGATACCTATACAGAAAATAGTGAAATTTCAAAGGGTTCAACATCATTAAAAAAAGGTAAGCATTAAACATTAATGACTTTTTGATTTGAAAATTTAACATTATATGTGTTCATTTAAATTTATAAGATCTATTTCTCTGGTGATGATAAGTTTGGTTTTGATATGTTATGTCATTGTACCGTTGATTAATCATTTGTCTATATACATTAATGTAAAGTTTACATAAATACTATTACCATGATTACTTCTATTCACATTATGTCATTGCATGTAAACGAAAACCTACATTTGAATAATTCCAGCTTCATCTAATTATCATAAGTGCAATTATGTTTTAAGGAATCTCTCAAACGGGGTTTTTGTGATCTTATAGATATGTTAGCGGCAATAAGTAAAATTAGGCATTAAGCTTAAATCCTACGTACGCAATAAGTTAACGCCTAGGCATTAAGTTATTGCCTGAAATTTTCAGGCATTAAGCTTATCTCCTGAAATCTGATATTGAATATTCAACATATTGCCAAACATCATTTCAGGCAATAAGTTGATTTTGGGATTTTTGCTTTATCTTCCATGTAAATGTACATTCGGTGAAATATTCTTGATGTTATTATTGTTCATATTATATTCCAAATATTAATATACATTAAATAAACAGTTCTTCAAATTTTAGGATTTTTTTATATTCAAACAGGATTAACTTGTGGTATTACAAAAATTAATATGTTTCAAACAAATGATCGTATCTAAGGGAGGGGGATTAATGATTCTATCTGAAAATTAGAATTATTTGAAGAAAATTCGCACTTCACTGGTCAAGCAGGTTTTGGTCCGGTCAAAAGAAGACAAATGTAGATATGATTTTTTTCTAACATCATCTTCCAATTGATTTTATTGGATATGTAAAACATTACGGTTAAACATTTAGACACATCCATAATCTATATTATTAGCATTTAAGTGACATGTCAACTGAAGACAAATTTCTTGAATCTTTGCAAGAAGAAAAAGTATGTAGGGAAGGGAGTAGTAGTGAAACTCATTTTATCTAAAGAGTTCAACAGTAAAGGACAGGTTGATTTAATGGATGTCCAATTAAACCGAGATGAAAACTATGAATTTTCTACATAAATAAATGCCTGTACCAAGTCAGGAATATAACCGTTGTTTTACTTTCGTTTGATGTGTTTGAGCTTTTGATTTTGCCATTTGAAAGTTCTAAATGTTCTTTGGAGTTCGGTATTTTTGTGATTTTACTTTTTAGGGGAGGTAATAACGTTGCTAACGTAAAATGTCATATATATATTTTTTGGCAACGTCAAACAACGACTTATCGGGAAAAGATGCATTTTTCGAGTGATTTTATTCATTAGCTTGAAAACGAGTAATCGGACCCCTCCTTTTAAAATGACATTTGACCTGATATTTTATGAAGATTATGTGTTCCAATTTTCATGAAAAAATCATCGATGAATCTTTTTTAAAATTTGATAAATATGCAGCAAAAACGCCTTGTTTTTCTAAAATCATTAAAATTGAATAAAAATGAATTATTTACAAAGAATTGTCACACAAATTAGGAGCATACTTCTGTAAAGAAGATATTCCTTATCTTTTTACAAAAATCCGTATGCGTTTATCTTTTAAAACATATGTCTGTGCAAAGGATAAAAATGTCCAAGAAACTGAAATTTTAAGTAAATGTCTAAAATTTCAGCCACCAATAATCTTTTGATTTAGCACAGGAAGGTATATTTTTATTACAACTTTGAACTGACTTAGTGGAAAGTAGCTTGTATGAATATTTTCGTAAACAAATTACCGAGGGATCCAACCTGTATCGTATGCCCTTAAAGCAAACTTATGCAAAAAGAGAGGGAAAACAAATCAAAATCACCTGTCTAATTTTATTTTTGATACGAACTTTAATATTGTCAAGCAAGACATAATTCCCTTGCGGTAACCAAATTAACATGTAATGAATTTCATTTCAGAGGAACTGGCAGAAAGTGGGAAAGAGTTGATACAATCAACATTACAGAATAGTATTTCAGAAACTGAAAATAATTTAGAAAATATGAAAAAACACTTATCTCTCGCAAAAGGTAGTTAATAAGAATTGTGTGTTGTTTGGTTCACTAGTTCCGTATTATTCATTGTCTCCTCTTACTTATATGGTTTGGTGATACTAGGTCTCCTTTCCTGAAATAGAAAAGTTATTTTAACAGTTCGCGTAGCATTTTTATCTATTGTCATAAAAATTCACAATATTCAATAAAATTAGTAACTTAGACCTTAAAATTAAATAAAGTAACATTCATTTTGAATGGAAAATTGTTTTTAAGTTAATTTCGCTTCAAAACTTATGTGCTAGACGCTCTCTGTGATTAATGTAAGATAACTCTTAGTTCATTTATCAACATTTTATCTCTATAGGGAGGTAATAAAATTTGGCTTATCATATATAATAAGCAAGTCTAAAATGGTACATCACAAAGAAAAATAAAATCATGAACAAATGTTTAATATTTCGGATGACTAAGGAGGAATAAATTCCTTAAAACTGTAAGAGTCCTGTATTGAAGCCTGAGTTACTGGAAATAAGTGATGATAGGGACTCATTCTATGTTTTTTTCATTAATGCCCTCTGAGGAAACTGTCCTTAACTTCCTTATCCAAAAATTTTCCCGAGCAAGTCTGTCGGCCCTTGACCAACCCTCGTTGTGGTCTATGATAGTGATCGTAAGGTTTTTGAGATCCGGTTTGGGTGTGCCCAGGTGATCTCAAATGACGACTTACGGGGAGGTCGGGCTTGCAGGTGTAGTCTCTTCGATGACCATTCATGCGTTTGTTGAATTGCTGTTCTGTCTCGCCAACATACTGCATGCTACATCGACACAGAAGAAGGTATACAACCTTCTGGGTTTTGCAAGTTACATTGCAATATATAGTGTATACAGACCCAGTGGAGTGGCAAGTAAATGTTTGAGTGTTCAGTATTTGTTGGCAAGTCAGACATCTTCTGTTACCACACGACTTGCACCATCCTGCAGTTGAAGAGCTTTTATTAGAGGAGACATCAGCTCTCACAAATAATTTTTTCAGACTTGCTGGTTTCCGAAAAGCTAAGATAGGAGGTTTGGGAAAGATCTTGGATAATTTTGGATGCTTGACAATAATCTGCCAATTGGCACGGATCAAACGGGAAAGGTTAGTAAAGGCAGGATTGTATGCTAAAACAAACGGAACTTTTTCGCTTCGCCTTTTCTGTTTGTATTGTAATAGGTCATTGCGGCCGTTATTGTTAGCACGCGCAAACCCCTTATCTTTGTCCCTTTTCTTATAACCTCGTTTGGTCAAAAATCCGCGAAGTTCCTGTAACCGTTTAGTGACAGCCTCCTCAAATCCGCTTTACTCTGTGATCTTGACTGAATATTTAATATTGAAAAAATTTACCAACGTATTGATTCGTGATAATTTGTATAACGATCAAGATTACTATTACAGTGTGACTACCACATCTCAAGATAAGAACCATTTGACATCTTACTGATGAAAGATATTAGTTATCCGAAATATTTAACATTTGTTCATGATTTTATTTTTTTTTGTGATGTTATACCCTTTTAGATTTGCTTATTATATATTATATTTTGTAGTGTACTGTATAATCATATGATCCATCGCCCGTAAGATTGATCGTTGGCTATTATTCAAACATTTTATATATTTTATATATATATATTAAAGTTAAAATACTTAATGTAGGTTTCATTCATAATTTCTCACTTAATCAGTACAAATATTTGGAAGAAAGTTGTGCCTGTGATACTTTTTATATCACGGTGTTTGTGTGTTGGGGTTAAAACGCATTCATGCACATGTCTTTATGGAAGCAAGACAATATGTTTGCTTCATTTGAATTCTGATACTTTTACAAGTAGCAGGATCAATACTGCTGGAGATTTGCGGATTCGGACAACAACTTAGAACATGTTATTCCTAACCAATAGCATGACTACAGATTGGAAAATATCACAAATGTAATACCTCTTATTAATATGCATAAAATTAAATGAAAACACTACATGACACAATATTTAATTCGCTACAAAACTACGGCATTATACGGAAGCCGGTTAGTGTTAAAGGAAATTGCTTTTATTTAATTTATTTTAACTCGTTATAACGACTTAGCTAACAAGTTTTGATGTCTTAGTTAACTTGTTATAACGATTTAATAACTCGCTATACCAACTTAGCCAACTCGTTATAACGAGTTAAATTTCTCGTTTTAACGAATTAACTCATTCCCCTTGACACTAACCGGTTTGTCTATCAAGGCCAATATATTAGCGGGATATTTAAGTCGTTATAAAGAGTTACTTAGTCAGTCGTTAAAACGAGTTACTAAGTCGTTATAACGAGTAATCAAAGTCGTTATACCGAGTAGTCAAAGTCGTTATAACTATTTATTAAGTCGTTATAACGAGTAATCAAAGTCGTTATAACTATTTATTAAGTCGTTATAACGAGTAATCAAAGTCGTTATAACTATTTATTAAGGCGTTTTAACGAGTAAGCTTAGTTGTTAATTTCTGTGTCATTTGGTCTAGTGTGGAGAGTTGTTTCATTTGCAATCATACCACATCTTCTTTTTTATAATTAGTCGTTATTACGATTTAAGTAAGTTATAACGAACGGATTAAAACTATAAAAACAAATTCTCCATGGTACGTTACTACGGAAACCCATTTAGCATGTTTAGGACTTCCCAGAAATTGAATTTAGATTCGATATCACAAATTTAAATCGTTATCACGAAATGTAAAAGTCGTTATCACAAACTAAATTCGTTGTCACGAATTTATGAAATAAGTTATAACAGTTTTTTATATTGTTAGTTTTTAATTCGTAATAACGGATAAAATTCTTAAGATTTGAGTAGGTTGTCTCATCATACAATTTAAATTAATATTAAGATTAATAAAATTTATTAAATTGTTAATGGTTCTTTATATTGCTGGTTAGTAAACGTTTGAAAACAAATAAAAAAATTTATAAATATAAATAATGATCTTTCATAAATCATAGATACTAAAATCTTTTAAATTTTATCAATTGTGTAATGATTTAGAAAGCAATCAAATAACTATATGTAAAAGTGAAATAATGAACCTATTCAAGGGAGAGAATTAAATCGTCGATTTGCAGGACTTGTTTGAATTGTAAAATAATATAAATGGATATCACTCTTGCATTCAATTGGCACATAAAAAAACTGATTAATACTGCATTCAAGCTCCAGCTGCTATGAAGATTCAAAATTATCAGTATAACCAACAGTCGTTTAACCATTGAATGATGAATGCTAACGATTGTTAACCCACAGTAAAGTATATGAGTTTGAAATTTGTTTAAACCTACTCAGAAAAATGTACGAACTACTTGTTGTTCATAGCTCATAATTAACGTGTTAACACATTACTTTAATATATTCTTTTAAATATTATTGCCTTTTGCTGTCTAAGAAACAATACCAATCTTATGGTTGCATCAACTTACCCGAATAAAAATTTATTCATGAAAAATAAACTTTAACCATAAACGAAACTATCTCGCCTTCGATTTTACAGGTACAAACTGTAAGCTTTTAAAGCGTTTGGTTTTAAATGGATGCTTCGAATATTTGTTACTGGACGTTTAGCAACCAACAATCAATCAATCAATGTAATTCAAGCCAGAACATTTTGACATTGTTTATTAACTTTTTTTTTGTTATTTGTGCCAGTTTTTTTAATATTATCACAACTTCCGATTAAGATTTGACTTAGACAGCATATCCTGATAACGTCAAGTAGAATCGCTAGTTTGTATGATTCAATAACACAAGAATACCGTTTTAAAAATTGTTACCACCATAACTTACGTATGTTAGAAACTTTTTTACTTTCTAACACTTTGCCAATTAATAATAGTAATTGTCTTACATGTGTTTACTTTCAAAGAAATGTGAAGTGAATACATTAATCAATAGAATCGATATTTAGGCCATAACTAGGGGATTTCTATGTGTCTTGTTAAGGACTAAATTATCAGATAATCGCCAAACAATAAAAAGGAAATGGATATTTAGAAGATATACAATAATTTAAAATTTTCCCCTGAAGTTTATACAATGATGTCTTTATGACATAATTGTAAATTTTGGATTAAACGAGATGATCACCGACATTAAAAACATTTCGGTTATTTAATGTATGAATTTAAAACCAAACGCTTCAAAAGTTTACATTTCGTACCTGTAAAATTGATGGCGAGATATAACATTCAAACATTTCGTCGTCGTCGTAAGAATGGTTTTGTTTAGGTTTACTTATGGTTAAAAAAGTTTATTTGACATGAATAACTTTCTGAAACCGTCATGAATTTTTAACGAAACTTGGGCAAAAACCTCCCCATGATTATGAGACAGCGTCAAGAGAAAATAATTGAACACATTTCCTTTTTATTTTTTGGTATTTTACTGATGAATGGATATATTATTTTGGAGTAAACTTTTAGATACAGACTGAGGTTACAGATAAGATATATAACTTTGTCAATCCTTCATGTAATGTTTTGAAACTTGGACAGAAGTTTTCTCGTGATTAACATACAGAATTTGGAGTAAAATTCTTAAAATACTCATTATCCATTTTCAAAGTCTGCAGGTTTTTTTAAAATTTATTTATATCAGCATTCAATCTGATAAGAATACAGATCATGTGTCCACACTTCGCTGACAAGGATATAAATAAGCTCCTGGACTGTTCTACTTTCTGTTTTAAGACCTGTCGGGCTTCTGGTTTTGTCGTAATGATACAAACCTTCAAAAATTTGAAGGCAGAAATTTTATTGGGTGATGTAATAATTCAAGTAGAACGGAGTGTTGGCAGATCCTTGTAAGCAAATCGTGAACACAGAATTGGTATTTTAATTTGATTGAATTTTAATGGCGAACAGTTTTTTTCCGGGAAATTGATAGTGTACGTTTATCAAAGCTAATTTAAAAGGAGAATTTTATTTTACATATTAAACAGGTTCTAGTTCGCATTTTCGTAAGGGTCTGTATTCCCATCAAGACCTCAGTTACCAGTAGACAGATCTCCTTACCATTCAAAGAAGTCCAACTACTAATGGTTAAATGACTTTGGTTAGGATTTAAAACCAATGAGGATGATAATGTCGATGTTAATTACGTTATATCTCTAGATGTGTAAAAATGTAGATATTAGTTAAATTATCCTCTAAATTGAAGCCGTTTAGGGAGTAGGGTAGTTTTCAGCCAAAAGTTGGTTATTATGACCTACATTTCACTCTTCGGTGAATTGGCTTAAGTTTTACATCTGAGTTAATATCTCGGTAGATGTAATTATTTGAATTTTTAAACTTGTGTTAATGTCAGTTCTATGTTGTAAGTCAGCATCTAGGCAACATTAGATCACCGTTACCCATAATTGATTTGGCCTTCAAATTATTTCGATTCAAGCACCACAGATAAGTCTTTTGTTGACGAATCACGCGTTTATCGTACACAATTAAAAGACTAGTATCTTTGAAGGCTTTTTACAACCAATTGAACAATGCCACTACTAATGAACTTTTCGGCTCCAGGATGTCACCAGCCCAGTTGTCAGTACTTCCGTAATTTGCTGTCTATACTAAAACATAAATGTACTTATCCGGATTTGGAGCAATTTTTGGTAGTTTTGGTTTTCAATGTTTTCAATGTTCTTTAACTTCCTAATTGATTGCGTATTAAAACTATTTTCATTCGAGTGTCACGGATCAGTCTTGTTTAGAAGAAACACGCATATGTCATAATGAAATATAAGCCTAGTATCTTTGATGAGTTGGCATTGACTTGTTTTACGTTTAACATCCGTGTTCGTATTTTGATAAAAATTAAGAAATAATTCATGCAAGCCATAGCTTTGTTGGTCGGGTTGTTGTCTCTTTGACACATTCCCTGTTTCCATTCTCAATTCTATATCTATCTGACTAGGTTCGTCTCACCATTACCTCATTTCTTTGTTCATTGTTCTTTGTTCATTAGTGACTCATTTGTTATGAATGATTGAGATCATTTATCAGATAGTGATACTATTAGAAATAGGTCAACAATATTCGGTATATTGAATGCATTTAGGATGTCAATCTGACATGGTTCGTATTGTCTTGATCTCATTTTCAGGATCCTTTAGTCATAGCTTTTTTAGTGTTTTGGTCCGTTTCTTACTTTCAATTATATGTGAATAATATTCAGTGAATAGAATGATTGTACGCTGTAAATGTCCGTTGTTAACTTAATTAGATAAAACAAAATAAGAAGATGTAGCATTCTTCTCTTGATTTCAGCATGTCAGTAACTGTTTCTCTGAAATTAAATACATTAGCACGCATGCACATGTATGCTTTCAAGTACCTGTATGCAATAAGAATGATTTCACTTTTTTCTTATTTCAGATGTTTTCAGTAAGTCTGGAAAACACAAAACTGTGTCTACACTGGTAGAAACTCGACCCTTGAAGCTTCTGAAAAAACATATTGTCGAAAAAGATTATTTTTGTGTTATTGGTGTATCAGGCAGTGGAAAATCAGTAATTCTTTATCAAATAGCTGACGAAATGTATAACAAAGAAGGATATCAAATTGTTACTGCAAATAAACCGTCGGAAGTTCTTGAAAAAAATAATGACTACCGAAAACAGTTGTTTGTATTCGATGATGTATGTGGGAAGTTTACCTTTGATCCAACACTTGCTGACAGTTGGAATTTGCTATCAGCTAGAATACGAGAACTTTTAAAAGAAAATAAGACAAAGCTTATATTTTCCTGTAGATCTAATATCTCGAAAGAACAAATGTACCAAGCAGTAAGTATACTTGCCGAGAATACATGTGATATGCAGTCATCAGAATTTTCTATGACAAGTGAAGACAACAACCAAATAGCAAAATATTTCTTGACTGAAAATGATGTAGACAGGTTGAAAACCACTGATGATTTTAAAACAAACAAAAGTATTCCGTTACTTTGTAATTTATATTCTATATTTAGAAATGAAGAAACTGACGTCGTGCATTTCTTCTCAAATGCCAAAAAAATACTTAAGGATAAAATAGATTTCATTGCAAATAATCCAACATGCAGCACTATGTTTTTCTTTTTCGTTATTTCTAACAATAATCTAAGCGAAAAATTCGTGCAGGATAACAAATGGATAATTGCCGAAATTGGAGAAAGCAACATTTCTGTGGAAGAAATTATCAATGCCATTCAACATAATCTTTTGTTTGTTAAAAAAAAATATGCAAACTTTTTTGTATGTCATGACATGGTATTTGACGTCCTGGTTTCATCTGTCAGTCAACGCCGCCTTAACGAAATTCTGAAATTTGCATGTGCAGATCTTCTTTGCGAAAGAAGTCACTTTGAATCTATTGGCCTTGGGCCTGATTATGGATGTATCAAAATACCATTCGACAAGGAAGGGTTATATTTTGAACGTTTATACAGTGGTTTTAAAACATATCTATCTTTCCAAAATAGGCAGCTCAAATTCAAATCTTACAGAAAAAAATTCATCTTGATCGTTCTTGAAAATTTGTATTTACCAAAATTAATCTTGGCAAATGACATTTCCCCATTTCTTATAAGTACATTTCAAGGTTTTTCTGACGTGGTTTACGCATTGTTAAAGATCTCGGGTACTAGCATAGTAAATATAACTGACAAAGTAGGTCGTACAGCTTTGTATATAGCAGCAGAATTCAACGACATACACACTGGTACAGTGCTATTGAATGGAAAATGTGATTTAAATATATCTCGAAAGGATAAATATCATGAAGGAGAAACACCACTACATATTGCCGCATTTAAAAGTAATTTACGATTTGTTCAATTATTAATAGAAAATCATGTCGACATAGATCAACTTAATGTGATGCAAATGACAGCACTGCATATATCGTCCACAAAAGATGACAAAAATTTAGTAAAATATTTGTTAGATAATGGTGCTAATCCTAATATTCCTAACACGAAAATGAACACACCTTTACACACTGCTGTAGCTAAAGGTAACACAGTTATAGTTGAGTTTCTTATAAATCATGAATCTGATCTTAAAAAACCAAATCAAGATGGAGAATCGCCGTTGTATCTAGCAGTTTCAAAGGGACATGTTGTGGTTGTTGATATGTTGTTAAAGGCTAGTCGAAGTATTGTAAACGTTAATTATGAATATATGTATCCTTTATATTTTGCGGCAAGAGAAGGATTTTATGAAATAGTAAAACTATTGTTAGACTCTGGCGCTGATCCAGACAGTTGTGCGTTACTTGAAAAGTCCCCTCTTTATGTAGCATTAGAGATGGGTCATTTTGAAATTGCTAAATACTTGCTTCAGAAAAAAGCAAATGCCAATTTGTATATGTATGGTGGTTTTACACCAATTTATGTTTCATCGCTCAAGGGATATACAAAAATTGTGGAACTACTCTTAAGAAACAACGCTGATCCAAATATTTGTACATCCGAAAAATTAAGTCCATTATATGTAGCTTGTATCAAAGGTCATTCTGAAATAGTGGAAATTTTGTTAAATAAACATGCAAATATATCGCTCTCAGATATAAACAACAGATCACCACTTTATGTAGCATCTCGTGAAGGTCATTTATACATTGTTAAATTACTGTTAGACCATAAAGCAGATCCAAATCAAGCAACTGTAGTAAACAGAACTCCTTTATTTATTGCAACATTAGAAGGACAAACCGACATTGTAAGGCATTTACTCCTTAAGAACGCCAACGTTAATATTGCAACAGCAGATCGTGAAACTCCACTACTTGTTGCCTCTCGTGAAGGGCATACTGACATTGTTAAATTACTTATAGACAACGGAGCAGATATAAATCAAGCTACTGTGGCAAACAGATCTATATTTGTGGCGGCTTCTAAAGGACATACGAACATTGTACACTATTTACTCAATAAAAACGCCAACGTTAATATTGCAACAGTAGATCGTGAAACTCCACTACTTTTTTGCCTCTCGTGAAGGGCATACTGACATTGTTAAATTACTTATAGACAATGGAGAAGATCCAAGTGAAGCTACTGTAGCAACTATGAATCTTATTTTTGAGTCGGCATTAAAAGAACAAACTAATATTGTTCCGCTTCTACATCTTAAAAACACCAACTTCAATAATGCATCATTAGATCATAAAATTAAATTCGTTGTTGTCTCTCGTCAACAGCATTTTGAAATTATTAGATTACTAATAGACCATGGAGCAGACCAAAAACAATCTACTGTCGCAAACATAATTCCTATATTTGAGGCGGTATCAGAACGACATACGAACAATGTGTGGTATTTACTAAAAAACAACGCCAACTTTAATATTGATACAATAGAAAATGATACTCCACTCTTTGTTGCCACTCGTGAAGGTCTTATTGAAATTGTTAAACTAATGGAAGACCATGGAGCAGATCCAAAACAAGATATTAAGGATAACATAACTCCTATACTAGTATTCGTGGCGGCATCAGAGGTTTATAGAGATGTTGTAAGGTATTTACTCCAAAACAACGCCGACTTTAATATTCCAACAGGAGACCATAAAAGTCAACTTACTGTTGCCTATCGTAAAGGGTATACTAACATTGTTAAATTACTAATAGACCATAGTTCAGATCAAAAACAAGCTACTGCAGTAAATAGAACTCCTGTATTTGAGGCGGCATCAGAAGGACATACGGACAATGTGCGGCATTTACACCATAGCAACGCTCACCGTCATATTGCAACTTCCATTGTTGGCACTTCTGAAGGGCATTTTGACATTGAAAACAACTTAAAATATCATACCGATGTAAATGAATAATAAAAATACTTTAGTAAAATGAAAATTAGTTAAAAACAAAATCATAGAACAGCATGCATTATATTTATTGTTGTTTTTTTTTAAATCAGAAATTAAAAAAACATTTCATTCAAATACATGCATGCGATTTTTTTGTCTTCCAAAAAGTAGGTTGCTTAGTAATATAGACAGTTATGAAACCTAAAATATGTGTTGAAATAAATCACAACTGGACTTTGATTGCTAAAATCACCATTCTAAATTTTATTGAGTATAATTTTTAAGCAAATTGAGATTTTTTAATTGTGCAATAATATCTATAATACAAATAAGTAAACTTAAACTTGTATTCGTGAAACTTGTTGAATTGTATTCTCCTTTGTAGAATTAGATATAAGTTTGAAGCCTGATGCTTGTCCCAATTGCAAGTACCCGCGATGATATCGATATTGGTCATGACAGCCCATCTTATCAAATTATAATTTTGTTCACCGTAAAATGCTGAAAACCGATGTTTCATTAATAGAACAACGGAAAATATAAAATATTGTGATAAATATATCGCAAAGTGTATTCAAAGTATACGGAATCCCATTTAGGACTAACAAATGAATTTCTGTATTACGAATAAAATATTCGTTATAAAATAAGTAAAATCGGAAATGGCGAATGTTTGAATTTTTCATTAAGAAAATAAGGTGTAGCTACATGTATATACAAATTAAGATTGTACATTTTTCAATTTGTATATATCGATATAATAAATCTGTAATAAAATGTTTTTTGAATTGGTAACAACGAAGAAAATTGTATTCTCATTTTTGGTATTGAATATAATATTGAAGCCTGTTGCCTTTACCAAATATAAATGTAATGATTTTTATAATAATTATAATGATAACATAGCAGCTTGATGTATTGAAACACAGAATAATAATGTACTCTATATATTGTAAAATAAAATCATTTATATGTTAAGGTAATGATCGTAATGTCAATGTTGTCCAAATAATTCATTTTATGTAAATCAATGCAAGTGATTTTATCTTTTTCCTTCTGTTTTCCCTGAAAGGCGTGTTTTTTTGGAATTTCTTTTTCTGGTCCATACATTTCTAAGCTTGAATGATATCTTTCCCTGAACTCTTTAAGTGTTGGTGCAGCTGCTTACTGTGTCTGGCAGTAGGTTCCAGTCTCTTATCACTACAACCAAGTAAAAGTCTGAAATGGCCTATATCTGTACTCGACTGTACTGATTTTTACTCGACCAGTCTGAATTGGTCTGAATTTTACTTAATATTACTCGACCCATTCTTAACCATACTCGACTGTACTGATTTGTACTTGACCCTTATCTTTGTTATTGAAAATAGTCTCAACTATTACTCGACCAGTCTGAAACAGTCTTAACCTAGTCTCGACCTGTACTCGACCAATACTTGACCAGCTCTCAACTTTTTTTTTCAGTCTGAACCATACTCGACCAAAGGTCTGAACAATACTCGACCAATCTGAACCATACTTGACCAAATAACATCTTCTTTATAATTTTGATTGTTAAAATAACTTTCTTTATAACTGACATGACAACAGCCACAATTAAATAAAGATATAACAGATTTTTAAATCCTTTAATAATACATGATTCTCTTAGATTTGTCAAATCGATATAGTTTAATTATCTAATTTTAAACTCTGAGTCTTGTTAAATAAAAGACTTTTTTTACCTGAAAACCACACCTATACCGAGGGTAATAAAACCTTATTAAAAATAAGGTGCTTTTTGTTTGGCATGCGTTTTTTTTTTTTTTTTAAACTTGATTTTCCTAAATTCCTAAATAAAAACGAATGTAGGACAGAAAGTCACAGGACAAAAGTCACAATTCAGTTTTGAGATTATTTTTCTTTGAACAATAAAACACTTATTTTTAAAAATCATTTTTGTATTTTTCTTGAAACAATATCAATAATGATCAAATAATTGTTAAGAAAAAGAATGTTGCAGTGTCTTGGTACTTAAATGGCTTCATGCTGCTAAGAAATATATCCTTTGCATGATTAAAATTTTATAAATCTTTATTTATCAAGTCTTATGAACAATTTCCTAAACTGTAAAATGAATATGTGTAATAAAAAGTAAAAATTTCAAGATCTTTCTCATAAATATTCAAACAATTGTATACAAATTATTTGTGACTTTTTGTTCTATCAAATTTGTGACTTTCTGTCCTGTGACTTTTTGTCCTGTGACTTTCTGTACTTAGGTTTCATGGTTACATACAATAGTTATATAACTATCTTTTAAATGAGGTAACAACAGCCGAAAAAATCACTGACAGTGTTTAACCTTATATCACAAATATATCTATTCCTATTTATAATTTGGGATATATATATATTTTAAAAAGAGATAAAAAATTAAAGAAATGAATATTTTTTTTCTTCTGATTAGGGGTAAACTATAAAGTAATACATCCTGCTTGGGGCACACTGATTAAAAAGTTCACACCTGGTCAGAGAGTAACAAATTTTAAATAACATCCATTGAAAATTAAAACATCCTGTAAAACTTAAATAACAAGGCCTTTTGAATTCACTAGATAAGTAATACACGAGTTTAAGAAAAATATGGTTTTCTTTTTACCTGTAAAACACACCTGTTCTGAGGTAATTAAACCATTAAACCTTATTAAAGTGCTTCTTGTATGCCATGTCTTTAATTTTCACAAAACGTATTTAAATTTAATTAAAATAAATTTCTACTGCAACTTTGAAATACATTTCCTTTTTTAAAAGGTTATCAAGGATTGCTATGAAAGTTTTATTATTATTATTATATTAAATTTTTGGTTTTACAATACAAAGGTGTCAATTTTAACATTTATTAAGTTGCTTTATATACCATTTTATATATATTTTGATAAAAAAAAAAATTTGAATAACATTTAAGATATTTGAATAATGGTTGAAAGTTCTAGTATTTTTGATGTGTATAAACCAATGTGAACATGATATCATGTATTCTTGTATATAAAAATTCATTTAACAAACATAATTTATTACATGATATTTTTTTTAAAATCCAACCAGAAATTTGATCAGACCAATTCAGACTGGTCGAGTAAAATCAGTTCAGTCGACTAAAAATGGAGGCCATTTCAGACTTTTACTGGTTTGTAGTGTATAGAGCGCGAGTAAACTTCCTTTGTTGCTCTGATCTGTCAAATTATATGGCCACCCCTTGTTCTGCTGTGCCCAGGTGTGTAGTAGATAGCTGGTTTGTATCTCCATTAGTTGATTTTGGATCTTATAGCTTAGGACGAGTCGCTGGCTTATTCGTCTTTGGGTATCCCACTGTAGTTGGTCTTATAGTCCAGTGACACATCCTAAGGGAGTGTCGGTGTACTGGTTGTATATAAAACGTGCCGCTTTGCTCTGTACCCTTTCGAGGTCTTTGTTCAAGTTGGTTTGATGGGGTCCGTCACTGTTGCAGCGTACTCGATCGACGGTGTGATCAGTGCACAATAGACTGTGTTTTTGACAGATGGCTTGCAACGGCCAAGGTTCCTGCGGAGAAAACCAAGGGTCCTGGTTGCTTTTCCGGTGGTGTCGTTAATGTGTTTATTCCACTGTAGGTCTTGACTAATTGTAACTTAAAGGTATTTTCTGCTATCAACTACTTCTAGTTGGTGTCCGTGCAAGGTATAAGTTGTTTGCAGGGTGTGCATGTTGGTTGATGGCATCTAAAATCAAGCTTTTTATGTTGGTCCAAAGGCTGTTAACATCGTCAAAATCTGTGTTCTTATAGATGTTGTGTTTTTCTTTAAGGTGTTAATCTATCATGGCGATGTTAGCTTTTTTCCATAGATATTTTTTTTTCTTTTTTGCTGGTTGGGTTTTTGTAAGCCGTGTGAAAAGTCAAGAAGAACTATATCATGGTCACTGTTCCCAAGAGGTGGTATTGTTTTACATCTATTGAGTTGTCCTAGATGAGATGTAAAAGAGAGACGAAAGATACCAAAGGGACATTCAAACTCATAAGTCGAAAATAAACTGACAACGCCATGGCTAAAAAAGAAAAGACCAACAGACAAACATTAGTACACAAAACACAACATAGAAAACTAAAGACTGAACAACACGAACCCCACCAAAAACTGGGGGTGATCTCAGGTGCTCCGGAAGGGTAAGCAGATCCTGCTCCACATGTGGCACCCATCGTGTTGCTCATGTTTAACAGCACATCTAAGGTGTTGTTCCCCCTGGTTGGTTTATCTACCATCTGTTTTATGTTAATGTTGGCTGCCATTTGGAGAAATGCGTTATTAATGTCTCCTGATGTTTGAGTACCCTGTGTTGTATAACTTTCCAGTCAATGTCTGGTAAGTTGAAATCTCCACCAAGGATGAAAATACTTCTTTTGTTTTTTCTGCGTATATCAGGGATGTCCTGTATTGCGTTGTTTGCTGTTAGTTGATCAAGCCTATTTGGTGGTCTATATAGGAAAGTTATTATGGCATTCTTTTTCTGGTTTATATTGATGCTTCCAGATATAGGTTCATTGTCTTTCCAAGACTTAAGATGGTTAAGTCCAAGTGTTGTCTTTGCAGCTTTGAGGACTCCTCCATGGGCGTCAGTTTGGCGGTCCATGCATATGACGTCATAACCAAGATCTTGTCGCTTAACCAAGTTTCCGTCCCTAAGACGATGTCTGGGCGTGCGGACTCCAACATAACCTGCAGATCATTTCTTTTATTCTTAATGCTTTGAAAGTTGATTAGCAGAACTCTAAGTTGCTTCTGTGACTTTTTGTTGGATTGTTGCTGGCTTTTCGTATGGTTGTCTGAACGTTTTGGTGATGATCATGCTCTAGGATTACCAATACTCGAGTTAATTTCAGATGATATGCTTAAATCAGTTTTGCTATCTTCTGATGTACATGATGATAATACTGAGTAGCTGTTGCTACCAGCTGAATCAATCAGATCATAGAGAACGGTTGAGTGGTTAGGAGCGTTACATACTACACAATACCATGAAGCAGATATATTTGCAAGGCTCTTCCCCGCCTATTAATAATAGCAGTTTTATACAAGGAGAGTTCTTATCGTTTAGTAACTTCTCATTTCTCCTGTAATGAGCTGTGATTTTGATCCAATAGTATAAGCATGTGTTTGTTGAGATGTTTGTTACAGGAAGCAGAGAGATTGAGTATTCTCTGGACGTATTTCTAGATGTTTGTAAAACTTAGGGGCTATCGGGTCCGTGTATATTTGCGTCCATTCGTTTTTCATTTTGAAATATCAAAAACAAAAAACAAAGAACGAGAGTGTTTTCATTTTTCATTTTTGATTTCTCAAAAACCAAAATGAAAAAACAAAAATGTTTTCGTTTTTCGTTTTTCATTTCTCTAAAACCAAAACGGAAAACGAAAGTGTTTTCAATTTTTGTTTTTCATTTCTCTAAAACCAAAATGAAAATCAAAAGTGTTTCCGTTTTTCGTTTTTGATTTCACTAATGATGAATTTTGTATGTAATTTTAATTATTTCTCGTTTTATTATGTACAATGTTTTCCTTTCTTGTTTCACAGTCATTGATAGTAAATAAGGCCAATGTAAACACCCCGGTGTTCTTTCAACATAATGTAGACAAAATAGACCGCCTGACTTATGAATTGAACTACGGTGATAAATGAATCAAAGACTTTCAAATTACCTTGTTTATATCTTTACTAAAAAAAAATTATTATATTTAAATATTTAACGAATCATAAATTTAAATTGTACAATATAATTATATAAAGATGGTACAAATAGATAGATAGATTACAACATCACATTAACAAGGGAGGTTACTACTTTTAAAACTGATAAGAAAACTAGCCCAGTCGTTAAAGTATACATGCACAGCGGTTATCAGATCTATCGTATTCTAATTGAAGTTAATGTCGACGGATGCAAAAGTCTTTATCAATCTGAAC